ATGTAGGGAAGCAACACTACCAGACAGCTGTGCAGCGTAGCAACGTGTAGCGAAAGAAGCACAAGGAACGTTAACATGCCCCCCCCACACCACCCCTTGATGTATACAGCGAAGCAACACTACCAGACATCTGTGCAGGGTAGCGACGTGCAGCGGAAGAAACGCAAGGAACCTTAACATGCCCCCCCACCCCACCCAACCCCTTCATGTATACAGCGAAGCAACACTACCAGACATCTGTGCAGCGCAACATGTAGCGGAAGAAGTACAAGGAACGTTTAACATGCCCCCCCCACCCACCCCACCCCACCCCACCCCTTCACATATACAGCGAAGCAACACTACCAGACATCTGTGCAGCGTAGCAACAGGTAGCGGAAGAAGTACAAGGAACGTTCACATGCCCCCCCACCCCACCCCGCCCCTTCATGACCTGCGAACACACGCTAGCAAAAACGTGCGTTTTACGAGCACTTATAGTATTGTATATATATATATATGTATATATTATTTTTATATATCTCAATATCATAGGGAAATATTTATCTGTGTATTTATTCATTTACTTATCGATTTTTATCAAATCAAATATTCTCAAAGAATGGGATGGGGTTTTGGCTGGTCCACTGAATGAATTTTGAACATCAGGGCGACAATCAAACCAAGTTCCATAATCCCCCAAAAAAAGAAAACAAAAACTGTCCACTACTGTCCATTAACATCTTGCGGCGATTTCTGGTGGTTTTAGATGAGAGGGTTGGGTTGGATATGGCTGGGTGCTTTGGAAGATACTAATATGATAAGCAAGCAGAAGCCCCCACAAATCCCCAATCGTCAAATGCCACAATAATGCTCTTCGAGGATTTAAAGATACTGCGGGTAATGAAACTTTGGTTGGGTCAAGTTACTGGCGTGCATTCAACAACAAAAACGGGCACTTTCTTCTGCTCCGCATATTTCCCGTGAGAAATGTAAACCGAATTGGTCGGTCCATGCCGCTTGCGCTTCAATCCTGCCTTGCTCATATCCGTGCAAGGTAACCCGGAGCATCCAAAGTCTGCGCCGAGAACATCACAAAATGAACCTGGCTGACTGTCATCATTGGGGCTGAAGGTGTGGTGGGCACAGGTCTGTTGCATTACCATGTTTGCTGCCCGAATTCTGGCAAGCTTGGTCTGGTAGGAATCTTCAGACAGAAATGCTCCTGGCTGAATGAGGTCCAGAATGTCACCAAATAAGTGGGGTCTCGGGTAGTCCTGCTTGCATGTGGTATTGCACCAGTCATGTCCATCGGCCAACAGTTGGTAGCACTCAGTGTTGTTTTCCTGGTTCAAACAAGGCATCAATAAAAGCAATTTGCTCAACATTTTTTTTAAACACACTTTTTGACTTGAAAGGGAGTCGTGGGAGTTGGGAATTATCAACTGCACAAAAAAAAATTCACTCGGCCAAACCCAGAGTCCCACATGGCCACGGTTCTGATATCCATGCTAACTGTGCTGCCAGCTAGCGGATATTCATGCACTAACCTTTGTAAGACGGCCCTCGAACATTCTGCAGTGCCCGAGCCAGTACACATAGAATAGGCAGTTCGAGCGTGGTTGAGCCAGCTGGCCTCCAAATTTCCAAATTGCTTAAAAGGAAATGTTGTTTCCACTACAGGTGATGGTCAGTAATAAGGATAGAATCTTTCAACCTTTTCACACCAAGTCAAGATATCCCAAACCAGCTTCCTAAAGAAAACCCGTGGGCCCTGGCCTGTAGGTTCTCAACATTTTTTTTAACCAAGCTCCAAGCAACTGCAAGGGAGTTGGACGCCAGTCCCAAGCGGTCCCAAGATCCCTCCTTGCAGGGTAGTGGGACCCTGGCGCATACTGGCACGGAAAACATGTGCATTATCATGCAGTTGTTTTTTGGCACCAGCATACTTCCAGACTTCTGTTTCGTGCTTGAACTAAATCCTAACACAAAGAGAACGATATGTTTATGTTTTCTTACCCCCATAATTCGAATCCTTGTGAAATAGAGGTTTGTGTGTGTATGCCTGTTCATGGTAGCCAGTGAATCTAAGGTTTTGATTCTCCTGACCTCGTTCTCCACAGACAACGGCTGGGAAAGAACTTGTGAAGAAGTCTCACCAGTTCGGGTTAGTTCACTCAAGCCGCAAGATTCGTCAGGCCAGAGATCAATGTCCATTGCTGGCAGCAAGTGTAGCTTGTCTGCGTATAGCTGATTCTGTTAACGTGCAAAAACTACATTGGATAATTCCAGCATTTGCAGGATAATGCAAAAACTCCGATGTCACAGCTAGGGTAGGTGATTCATTGCTTTGGGATCAGTCTGACTGTCCACTGTTTGCGGTTGAGCCACAAAATGAGTGGCTGGCAATCTTTGATTGTGGCTGTCACCTACCCATAACGACATGTCCTCAAGACAATGGATGGAACCATAAATCCCCCTGGCGATCACTGCAGCCTAGGTACCATTGGTGGACCAAACGCTGCCAGATTAATTTCCGGGCCTGAATGATTGCATCTTGGCGGCATGCTGCTGAAGATTCAGAAGGGCGAGTATTCTACATCATATACAATCAACCAGACATGGATTCGTCAGACTTTCATGCCCCATAAGTCCATAAGCCATAAAGCACCAAAATTTCACCACAGTTCTGGGGCTTTTGCTGCACAGGGGCAGTGCCACGCATAGCCTTCGAGAGGCGCTTTGCCAATGGAAGTGCCATCAAAAGAAACCTCAGCAGATTGCCAAAAGGAAGGAACCCCAGGTTGCAGGTTCTTAGTGCGATTGTTGGGGAATGCTTGCTGGGTCTCGATGCAACAAAGGGACCTGTCTGTGAATTTCCGGCCCCATCTCACGTCTTGCAGCACGAATATAAGAAGCCTTCGAGCACTCAAAGGCTTTGGTTTGTCACTAGCTTGGTGAAATTCCAAAATCTGATCCAAAACCTTTGAATTCTGATTGTTGTTTATAGCTGAGGGGCGCAGAAGCGTTGAGCAACGCTTGCACAGTGGAAGGAGATGGTGCTCCGGTCAAACTTTTTGAAATATGGATGCCGCAGAAAAGCTGCTGACAACATATGATCCTAAGCGCAATGGTTGTGAACTACCACCAAAAGTTAAGTTGGGAAACAAATCGGGGGACATGACCCTTGATTTCCGTCATGTTGGAATAATGATTGACAATGCGGATGGTGAGTGAACGAACAGCATTGCATTAGTTATGTAATACCAAAAAGTGACCCTCACATTGAATCCGGTCCCAGATTCCACATGGTTTTTGACAGACCTTACAATTTCCCACAAAGTGTTTGGATTCAGACGCCGCTTGAACTTCCTAAGCGACCTCTTGTGCGACTGCGGCGTCACGGTTGCCAAGTCTTCCAGGCGACAATCCTTGGCAAATTGGTTGAATCAAATTTTGGGGTGCCCAAGGGTGCCCCAAACGTTTTGTTTTTATTCAAAATGGAAAGTTTGGGGCATCCCTATTTTAAGATATTCCCTTCTGAATCCCTCACTGCCCCAGAAACTGCTCAGCCGCCTCTGAAAGCCTTGCTTGAAAGAATCCTGCTTGATAGTTTGGAAAATGCAAACCACACACTTAGCCACTGCATGCTGCATGTAGTGACTTAGTGAGCCTCTAGCCAGCCAAGCTACAAAATACACAGCTGCCTGAGCCACCATAGTCCGCGTCTGCTCAGCCAAGGGGTGCAGAATCTCACGATGCATCCTGAGGGAGCGAATCAGCGAGTATGGGATGTAGTCTAGTTCTTTGTACAGTTTAGCGACTCTTCAAATTCAATAATTATGCGGAGCTGTTTTTTGGATTGGGCACATGGTTTCAAAACACCACATATGACTCAGTTAATTGAAACAAGCCTCGGATCCAGCACAAACACAACGAAGGAAGCCCAATGAATGAAATCACCCCAGCCACCAATGATCCAAGATTTTCGTGGGTCCTGCCCAGGAACAGCGTACAGAGATGGAAGGGGTGATTGTTTATTACGGAACATCCTAATATAATTTTCAACGTGTATATATATATAATATAAATTATTGATTGATTTAAAGAAACTGTTCTATAGATACACATTTGGGGAAATTACAAGGTAACCCGAACCACACGAAATAAAGTCAAATATATAAATAATATATGTATAAGTATATTCTGATATTTTCTGGTGACTATTGTCTTTTTTAGCAAGCCCTGATCCTGAGAATCTCGATTCCAAGCTCTTTGAATCTGCGTCGCTGAATCACTAACATTCCAAATCAAGGATGCTGATGGAAACATCCCAGAAGATGGCACGGGGATCTCAAGTGTCACATCTCCAAGAGCAACCTGTACTTTGAAAGTATTCAAAGACAAGCATTTGCACAATAGGTCGAAGAGAAACCTTGCTGCTCCAAACCGGTATTGTTCATTGCTCTTGAGCTGTATGCAGTGGGCGCATATGCTGGAAAACAGGAAAGAGGTGGGGATTGTGGCCTCCATGAAAAAATTTTGTGGTCCCCTGTCAGCGCGATTGTCGCTTATTGGGTGAAGCAAGGAAGGCGCATCTTGCCAAGGCCAAAGTTTCTTATGGTACTCTGTCCAAGCTTGCACATTCTTGGCTTTCCACTTTCCTCACATGAAAAAAAGGTCCCTAAGGAAACCAAATTAAACATTGGATTTACATAAACATACCCGAGAATCAGGAAAACAATTCATAAGACATCATTAGACAAGATTCTGGTTTTCTTCTGGATGTCCTTTTTGTCGGTTGATTTGTCTGTGTCTAACCTTATTGCGCTACCCCCTTGCCCTTGCGTCTCAAAAGATTTCAAGGCAACCCATACTGCTTGTAGAGACCATTCGCTTTGCCTCCCATGCCCCCCCTTCCAAGCAGTCAATGTGACGTCGCTGAGCTGAATAAAACCTGAGTTTTGTAAATACGCTATCAAAACAGAAAGACATAAAGGAATTGATAGATAGATGCCATGACATGTCGTCATAGGAGGCCCTGTGTCTTTCCAACTGCAATGATAGCGAATGTGACACGACCCTCATGTATCAAACTGCTGTATGCAGCTTCGATGCTCTCAGGGCCAAAGGGAAACTCTTCCGCCATTGCTTCGGAGCAAATCAATGGCACCACTCCATGGCTAGAAGCGCCGTGGTCAGACCCCGCAAGTGACACCTAAAGCCTTTAGAAGTTATTTAGGGCTATCTAGGGACTGGTGTGTTTCTGAGGCTATACTTACCTTATACCTAAGATTCAAAATGTGCGCAGGACCTCGGCATTGGCATGTGCCGCCGCAACGTGTTTCAATGTTGCTTTGCAACCATCTCGAGCAAGAAAGCGCGAGCTTGGTTTGTACAGCAACATAGTGGCAAATAAAGGAAAATAAGGAGCAAATAAGGGAAAATAAGTAGATCCAGCAATGCCAGGTATGTCGAAATCTGGGGGGGCTCCTTTTGGGGGGGCTCCTTGCTAGAATATGACTCAAGGGGCGAAAGGTTCATTTGATTCAGCTTCTATAATTGAATGGACAAATTTCGGGAAACCTTTATGGTTGAGGATAAGTCTATGTTTTGCTGTGTTTCATCCTTTAAATCAATACAATCAATCCATTGATTGGAGTGATTGCCCCATCGGCATCCATCCGCTTTTTTTGGCGCTGCCGTGCCGCAGCGCCTTCCGAGGTGATTTGCGATGACTCCTACCGCTTCTTGCTGCGACACTTCGCTCCATCGGAACGAAGTCTTGTCTTGGTGGATCCACCCTGTGAACCATATGATTTGTATATGGTGCCATGGCATTGCCACATTATGACTGGTTGGTGGTTTGGAACATGAATTTTATTTTCCATTAATATTGGGAATGTCATCATCCCAACTGACTTTCATATTTTTCAAGATCATTAAAGCCACCAACCAGATTATCATTATGTTACTTGTGACTTGTTTGTTGCCTGCTTGTTACACCGTCGTTACCTCTGCAGGTTCTATGAAAAATACCTTCAAACATGAGTCGAGAACTCGCGAGAGAAAGATTGTGTGTATGTGTGTGTGTGTGTTCCACCTGCACGCATGGATATGGCTTTCGAAGCAAAGCATGGGTAGCAGTAGCATGATGTTATTTTTGATATTGTTGAAACAAGTTAACTGTCATTTATAGCAGAAGATTAGTGTAGAATAGCCATCCATGATTTGATATTGTTTGATCACACATTTCTTTGGACGTGTCAGTGCCTTAGGCCTGGAGCCTACACTTGATGGCTGCAGCAGAACACTGGCCCAGCTCTACGGCCCCTGGGATTTACAGGACCACTTTCCCTTGGACCAAAAGAATCGGTGCCAAAATCATCAATCACCCACCCCATGAAAAAAACACTGATGGATTTTGATTTTCGTCGCATCCAACGGTCGATTCGCTGCAGGTCATCCTTTGGTATCCTCTGATGGATCCGGAGCAGGTGGCGGGTCTCTATCAGCAGGCAGCCAGCCTGGGCCTTCCTCTCCTGGTGGCGGAGTTCCAGGTGACCTGCGAGAACGAGACGGCGCTGGAGAAAAGTGGAGTGCCTGGGCCGAGTTGGCCCAGTTGGTCAAGGGGGTAAGGAATTTGATGATTATAGTGGGAATGATAGGAATTGAAGAGGAATTAAATATATATTAAATACCTTAGATTCTTCTTACAGTGATTTGAAGATTTGTTATCTAGATACATAGGGTAATGCGATATTTTATGATTGAGATATAATGGTGCCCAGTTCATCCTTGACCATGACGATGGCATAGAACTTAGTATTGGAATGTATTGGATGTATTCCTGTTGGCCCAAGGAGGGTTTGATGATGTACGATTTATAATGGGATTTTGCACTTTGTGTCACGATTTGAGATGTTTTGAGAGGTTTTTTGCTGAATTTCCAAGGCTGAGGACAGAGTTGCTTTGAGGTGCTGAAACTAGACCAATTGACATGTTTGGTCCTCAATGACCTGTCAACGTCAGGTCTTCATTCTGAACCCAGCAGCTGCATCCGTCAGACACCTCAAAGACTTGCTGAGCAAACTGGCATCAAAGCTGGCTGAGGGGCGGAAAGATGCTGCCTCTGTAGATGCTTGGTGGGTTTGGGGGCTTGGGGATCCCAGGAATCGCACGTGGATTAGATTTAAAATAATATGCTATATAATGCCCACCGAGTTTTATAAACAATGGAACATACTCATTTTTGCTCTAGATGTTTAACTATCCATTCTCGATTTCCCGCCAGAGCAAGCACCCAAGGATGCCACATCATTCTGGCTGCATGAGCGAAAAATAGTGCCGCCAGGGGAACACGGAGGTGGCGCAGCCTTTTGCTCCCAAATTGTAGACCTATGTATCTCCCCACTCTCCAGCAGTCAGAATGCGTTGGATACCCAGGTCACCTTAAAGTAGAACAGAACAATGAATTGCCAAAACACGAACTGAGTATTTGGTGGTTTCTCTATATGTTTTTGGCTTCTTCATCCCTATCTGAGCCCCCAACTGCCAAACTTATGTTTGAAAAACACATACGGAGATGGGGAGAGAGAGAGAGAGAGGGAGGAATAAAATCAAGTCATATAATTAATATTCTACCCATGAAATCCCATGAATCCATTGCAGTATTTAGCCTGATGAATCACATAGTCCATTGTTCCCACTAATTTACACTAATCCATGATTTGATGGTCACAAACTGGTGACACCTAAGGCGTGGACCTCACCATTGGCTGACCGACCAATGTCCTTACCCGGTGCAACGGACCGAGGTCTGGGAAAGACGTCGTGACGTCGGAAATGCGCGGCCATCATATTGGGGTTAAGAATGCGGGATGCGGGTTTAACAGCTTCTGGTTTAGCCACCTTATATTAAATTATGTAGATTAGATTGTTAGATTAATTACTGTATATAGATTAGATTTGATTTGATTACATAGAGTAGATGATTAGATTAGATTAGATCGATTGATAGATATTGATAGATAGCCAACACAAGAGTAGACACCTCCTTTTTTCGCACCCCCCAAAATGATGAAACACGAATAAAGCGATGCTACTAAACCAGGGTTCGTTTGGGTGGTATTCAATAAATTTAATAGATATTAGGAGGACAGGATTACAGGAAATACTAATTTTTGATGAGCATGAAGATGATGAAGTTGAGAGGGGAGTAGAAATGGATTGGCATACTGGATATGCAGCTTGTTAAAGGAGGTACGGGTAAGCTTAGATGGTATACTGAAAACAATGCAGTCAGTTTCAAGAATATGGTCCTATCAAAAGTTTCAAAAAGACTTTCAGATCGAACGGACGATCGAAGGTTTAGGAGGTCTGGAAGTGCCATAATGCTTTGCTGGGCCATTGCCGGGCCCATGGTTGGAAATCCCATATATGCTTTGCGTTCAAGGCATCCGCCAACGGTACCCTCAACATCAACCATTGGTGTCCACCATTGGACGACGGGCCGACTCCATGGACTTTGGAGATCATCATTGGGGGTTTCTTGAAATGACGATCCCTTTGATACTAAAATGCTCTACTTGGATTGGATGATTGCGTACACCCCCATTTTAGGAAACCTCTATTTGTCAAACGGTGTGATCAACTGTGCAAAGAGGCTCCTGCATTTGGGCATGCAGAAACAGGCAGTTTTCTGGTACAGACCCGATGTTGAGGATGTCAAATTGAAACATCGCCTAAAAATCACTTGCGCAGGCGCGGAGAGTGCAGCAAACTTGGACGCAGGCTGGGGACTGTGTCGTGCACTGGGTGCGGTTGCATGTTCCAAGGATGTTCCCCAAAGAAAGGGCAACACGATGCAAGACATGAACTTCCCAAACTGACCTAGACCCTACACGCCTAAGATGGACATGTAATCCCAACATTGCTTTGATGAAGAGGAAAGGAATCTTCAAAATGATTTCAGAGGGTCCCACGATGGAGAAGAAGGCCCCAGATTCCCCAAAGTCACCGCGATCACTGAAGATCATAGTTGGTAAGGGTAATCATCCCAAGAGTTACGGTATGTTCAGGCTGTTGAATTATTACAATTTCACCTTTGTATATAACATTTATGGTTGATTTTTTATGTCCTGGTCCCAATTTGTAGCACTGGATTGTATTCAAATAAACCAATTCCATTTGCCTCCAGAATCTAGCCATGGCGCGAGGAGATGGGACGGCAGCGACCGGCAGCGGCTCCCAGTCATGGATTCCTTGAGATCATGGGAGAAAAAAAATATATATATTTTTTGTCAGAATAAACAAGGCTCTTCCTATATCTGAATATTCATATGATTCATATTCAATGAGGCAAATGGATGATATTTCGTGCTAGTGGTAGCCATAGCCGCTATAGCCATTAGCAACAAGGTTCAGATTGGCAACCAATCTGAGCAGCTCCAACTTAGGCAACGTATCTGGGCCTCGCCTAGTGGGGAGTTCTCCTCTCATATGGATAGAGCGTGATAGAACTGGAAAACCACGGAAGCCTGAAACTGCTCATGAAACCATTCTGGACCATTCTTCATTTCCAAAAAAAAACTAAAGTTCACTCAATCAGTCTATGAAGATCTATGAAGCAACGGAATGATGGACATCTTATGGAAATCATCCCAGATTCGTCCAAGATTCGTCCAATGGATTGGCCAGGCCTCAGCTCCGAGGCGGGCACTGATCAAAGATGGTTTTTTGGCAACCAGACATCCATCGAAATGAGACATGGAGAGACCAACAAAAACAACAGGCAACTGAGAACATTTGATAACTTAATATCTTATAATAGCTGTTAATAACTTATATATTATATATGTGTATTTGGAAGTTTGATTTTGGCACCAGCACACAATGAAGCCAGCTCGACAGAAATCTAGATGCAAACAACCGAACCCACAATGACATTGGACGAAACGCAGAAAAACGCAGACCCAATCGCCACCCACCAAGATCTTGATGGACCATTGTCCCATTGTCAATGTCCAGAATTGGCGCCAAGACCCCACTCTTGGGCATTCCATGCTGTTTCCATGCTGTTTGATGTTTCACTCATGTTCACCCTGTGGGATTCAAGAGTCCACCGGAGCATGGTGCAGGTCCAAGGGATATGGTCAGCCCAGTGCCATGGCCGGATTTAGAAAAGTGGGATTTAGCCTGAAAACAGGTACTTTTCAGAGGGAAAAATTGTGATGATCCATTTTCAGACAAGCCTAAATCCATAATGGACTTGATGGCACTCAGGCACTTATTCGCGGTTCACGGAGGGTTTGGGCGAGTTTTCAACAAGTTTCCAGGCATAGGCTGAGATTCAAAGTGGCATCATGTGCCGGTCTTTGGTCTTCCAAGGCAGTCCCGTTGCTGCGCCGGTTGGGGGCCAAAGATGCAGAGCATCCAGTTGAATCAGTTGTTCTTTCCAGATGGGTTGAAACCGCCATCAATTCTTGCAGAACAAGAATGAGTTCAGAAATATAGGGCAAACTAACCAAAAACATCCACAAACAAGGAAGCTTCAAGGATTCGACCCGTAAGACGTCCTTTTTCCAGCTTTATCCAGGCAGTTGGTTCATAGAGGGGTTCCCCCTTGAAGAACCAGTTCGGTAAACCGTTCAACCCTTCCAACCAAGGTCCGGCGGAACTTGCCGCCGGGCTGGGATCAAAAGGCGGAAGCCAAGGACGGTCCCAAGTACAGGGCCGAGTTTATCGGCAGGCAGCTTTCGGTCAAAATGTGCAGCTTTTGGTCACTGGTAGATGTTGGTCATTTCCTCATTATTATGTTTTTTTGTTGCTGAGCTGTTCAAAGAGACAAGTTGGATAAAGTTGTTGTTCTTTCTTTGGACCATATTGGACCTATACCCACATCATGAGCGGCTTCTGTTTGAAGCCTTGGCCGGCTTGGTCTCGGCTTGGCCGGAGCCACGGTGTATGGTTGCACCCAGGCGAACACAGGTCCCAGGTCGGCCCCCGGAAGGCAGAAGCAAAAGGTCTTCCAACTGAGGGAAGATTTGCAGAGATGTTTGGCACCCAATCCCAGTGGTCCCAGCTGATGACCAAGATGCCCGGACTTTACGCATGTGTAAGGTCCAAATGTGTCAAACATGTCCGTATTTATGGTCCAGATATTTGACACCAATCTTTGAATCTAGATAAGATAAGATCAGGTGAGATAGGACTACATATAGTTGTACACATAATATGTTGTATCTAGAGAGTTACACAGCAACTGCTGCTCATCAATCCCCCCCACGCAGATATGACATAAGCCTTGTGACATGACCTGCAGTAAAGGTACACCTGAGTTTTCCCCGGTCCCATAACAACAGCCAGGCCCATTTGATTGTGAAAAACTCGAGTTGTCATGGATTTCCTATGAACTTCCGTATGGATTTCCCGATGTTGCAGGGACAAGAAAACCAACCACCAACGACGGTGCCGTTTGCGGCACACGCGTCGTTTCCGTGTCACAGGTCGCGTCTCCAAGGAGCGCATGGATCAACAGATGAGCCATCTCCGGCGCCTCCTGCGGCAAGCGCAACAGGCGGAGGGGCGGTGCCTATTGGGAGCGCAACATTGATTTGCGTTTTTATATGTTTTTAGCGGCGGTATATGTTGGATATGTTGGCATGAAAAGTTGAACTGATGTTATTATATGAGAATATTTTATGTTTGTTACTACAGGGCATGCATGTTATTACTATAGATCGATTATGATCATGATAGTTAATTATGACATGATTATTGTTGAGGCATGTGCTTATTCACAGAATTGGTTGATCTCAACCAACTATTAAGTCATGAATATTTTGGCTGCTTTGAGGTATGATAGCCCGAGGTCTGAAATGGGTGATGAATTGATGATTGAGAAAACGGTGTGGGGATTGATGTCTAATCCAAGAGAGGTGAGGTAAGCAACAGATACACGGAAAATTGGTTGTAAGCGACCTCAAACGACCTCATACTGTAGATGACCGGTAAGAATCAAGTAGGGGAACCCGGGAACCCGGGAACCCCCACTTTGGTCTTAATTCCGGTTTGGGTCGATTGTGAATGACACATCCAGATCACGTGCTAATGACTGGTTTGGCGGCTGGACTTTTTGGGTTGTTTTGGAAACAGTTGTGGATGGGTTGTATTTTTCTTTAATCGTTTTTATTTGTTGCTCATGAGCTCTTAGATTTTCAAAACGTTTTGCTAGGGTCTTTTCCTAGGGTTGTTTTCTTGGTTTTCAGAAAGTTTCAGGTGGTGTTTTGGTTCTTTGTTTTTTTTCAAAACCACCATGGCAGGAATTGGACCCAAAGGCTTCGCATCCACGAGGTGACGGGCACTTGGCAGCAGTATCAGTATTAGTCATATCAATAATAGCACAATCGTGACAATAGTAATGGTTGTAATAAAAGAGATAATAGTACTAGTGACAAAAATAGGAATAAGAGACTAGTGGTGTTAATTACAACAATTACTAGTCATGATTACTAGTAATAAAGTTAATAATTAGTAACAATGAAACGTAGACTAATTGTACTAATTAGGTTTGACTAAAATTAGAGTAATCATAGACTGATGGTACTATTGTATGAAATCGCTAGGCAAGAAGTAAGTCCAGATAAATTTGCATTGTTACGTCCTTACTTCGAGCATGCAAATTTCTCAGCCTTGTGGCTGGTGACAATACAGTGGAACACATGGGTACAAATCTCTAGCCTACAGGCCTACAGAGTCAACCTCTCTGAACTTGTATGCATCATTATTATTATTACAGTCAGATAATCAATCATGGCAATTGGACATACCCAATTCATGGATGATTTTCCCATTAAATTAAGGCCTTCGTTTATCGAGGATTTTCCAGCCAGCCACGTTTGACTACCAGAGACATCCAACGCCCACAGGTGGCGCTACGAAGATCAAGACCATCAGATCTTTAAGGAGGGAATTTGTGAAGAAAGGTTCATATTTGCTTGGTGGTTCATGGTCGCTTATTTTTGGTGACCTGGTGCTCTCATAGATTCATTGCTAAATTCATTGCCTATCCGGAAATCATGCATCGTGCAGGAGCTGATTTTCTATTTTTGGGGTACTCAAATGCTACAATGTAGTGACAATAGTCTTCAGCACATCTCTGGGATTGGTTGTGGGCGTTCTGACACTTTGACCCATGACCAGCAGCGCTGGGCTGCGATTAACGTCATCCGCCCGAAGAGGTCCAAATCGCAGTCTGGCGTCAAGTTGGAAGGCGCCGCCGTGTCATCGCTCACTCAACTCCTGTAGGTTCCGCGTGTTTTTTTTTGGTTGGGGGCCTCTATATAAACGATTATAAACGGCTAGCATGAACAAGTGAGGCTTTCCTAGAATGGGGGTACCCAAAAATGGATGTGGTATAATGGAACATCCATGAACGTCCCATTAACATTTATGATTTAGGGGTACCCCCATTTGAGGAAACCTCCAAGTAAGAGGATACTGAGTGGATATATATCCCCACCATGTGTGTTGATTTCTACTTCTCTCGGGAAATTTCCGGGCGAACAAGTCCTATAGGTGGTAAATGAGCAATTGACAGAAGTATTTGTTGTTAGCCCACTGGCAGGCTGCACAATCACACATCGCAAAAGATACTCAAGATGACGGTCAGGTTCAGGGAATCATGTCAATCCCAATTGTTACCCTTTAGTAATTTAACGGAACCATGGAAAATCACTGTTTTTTATTGGTAAATCTTGGTCAATCATCATAAATCATCTATAAGTGATCCATTTTCCATAGCTTTGCTACATAAGTAACAAGAGGGTCCAGGGTATCATTTTTACATGGGTGTGTCCCAAGATGGCTAACTTGCTATCTTATCCACCTGGTCGTAAGACCAGCGTAAGACCATTGTAGTTGGGCTAGACACACGGTTCGAATCCGCTGGCACCCAATATTTTCCAAATTGGATTGCACATCAAACATCGTCAAATTCATTTCCATCATACATATATATATATATACATATACATATTATCAATATCCCATACGCATACATACAATTTCATAGATAGTGACATCATTCATTACATCCCCCAAATGATACAAATATCACTTATCACATATCCCAGAAATGATTTAAGGGAAAATCTGCAGGACACCATAGGAAATCAGTATATACATTACAGTTAGTGCCAAAATACATGTTTTCCTGTAGGTTTTTTCCGAATCAATTCATTAACAATTGAACAGATAGATATATACAACTATATACAATTCTATTTTAACATTATATAACTATTCCATTTCCTGTACATTGAATATATTAACTAATGTGTGTGTGTCCTAGAGATTTCTTTTTGCAGGCCCTTTGTCATACTGATCGTGCTGGGGGCCATATCCATTTTTCGTTTTTGCAGCCGCAGGACGCATAAGGCAAAGCTCAGACTGCCCCAGATGTATGGTTCTCATTGGGCATATCATGAAAGGTGTTGTAATGTAATGCTGAAAATTCACTCATGTGGACTCGCATAAAAACACACAGAAACCAACACCCGGGACCCAACCTCAACAACCTTGGATCTGCCGCAAACACACAATGTCTCAATGTAGGGAAGGATTGGTACCAGGTCAACATCTCCATCTTAGCCGCTTAGCTTCGCCTGTGGCCGGTCTATGGGTGGAACAACAGGGCTGATAAATCTGAGTCGTTGCAGCCTTCTGCAGAGTGACTTCAAAGTCATGGGGAGCAGCGATGAGCGGCTTGGCAAAGTCATGTGGTGGACTGGGTTGGTTTAAAGAAGCCTTGGGGTATGGTTACCAAGCGGTTTAAGTGGTTCAACGATATTCAGCGTGTCTTGTTCTGTTGGTTTGTTGGTGTATATTTGGGATGTGCGTCCCAGCCATCTGGCTGGGAATACTGCCTGTGACCTAATTGCTCACCATTCATTATATACTCTACCTGATGGCTGGTAAGGGAAGTCTCAACAGCATTGTTATTGTTATTGTTATTGTTACTGTTGTTATTCTTATTGCCCTTGGCATTGTGATATTTTATTTACTGTAACAATCAGTTTGTTTGAGAATTAAGCACCCTGCATGTTTGATTTGTCATTGTTTTCCCCTTTCAAACCGACCATAAATTGACCCCAATACAATATCATTTGTTTGATAAGTTTTGAAAAGACAAACCTCCTATTTATTTCCTTTTTATACATTCGTTTGCAAAATCCCAATTGTCAAGGTTTTGGGCCCCTATCTTGGGTCGAATTCCCATTTTTGGCTGATTGAATCCTCAGTGGCTGGGTAAATTCAATATCTAGCTTCCATCCCTAGCTATTGTGATGTTTGGCTAGTTTACTCACCCGTTGTTTTTTTGGGTGGTGAAATATGGTGGACATGCCCAAGTTTTGGGGCAAAGCTAATCTCCAGTCGTGGAGGGCTTTCACTTTTCGGTCGTCCCCATAAATCGGAGAGTTCTGGGAGTTATCCTGTGCTAACATAGCCATGGCCAATAGATAACTAATGGCTAATATAGGAACATCATCTACCGTCTGGTTATTTAACGTAGCCATGGAAAATCACCCATTTATAGATGGTTTACCTATTAAAAATGGTGATTTTCCATGGCTATGTTAAATAACCAGATGGTATAGCTATTATAAGATTGCCAAGCATAGCCATGGCTAATCTAAAGGTACATCATCCAGAGTCTGACGATCTGATGATTTTTCCCCCTATACTTCAGAGGAAAATGGCTGTGCTTAATATACATCATCTACAGCTATGGTTCGTCCTGTGGTTATGTTCAATAACTGAATTGGAAAAAGACTCAGGGAGCGAAGTGCGCGGCACTACCCAGGTGCTCCGACATGGAGTTGGAAGAGTCCTCCAGAACTGCTTGCAGCTGCTGCCACACGGTCTTATCACCTTCCGCAGCAGTGACTCTGCAGAGGGCTTGGGTGGACGTGGATAACGACCGTGATGATTAGTTCAAGCAAGGAATTACCATGCCAGAATTTAGTTGATTAGTGATATACTGAATATTACTGAATGCCAACATTATTGCCTATTATTGGAATATAAAGTGTACATATCAGGAATGTAGAGGTTCATCATCGGGTATGGTATGTTGACATGTAATAGCAATATTGAAAATCAACGTTTGCTGTAGGGAATCCAGGGCCCGCCCTGTTGGGTGACTGTTCTTGGAGCACTTATGTCCGATTTTCCGGAATATGAATAGTTTTTTAGACAGTTAGATATGTATAGATATGTGTGGATTCAAAGTTAGGTACTCCAAATTTGGGTAGGTGCATCGGAATATATGAAGTCTACAACCAACACTTTCGCGTGTGAGAACCAGGTGCCTTTGAAATTTGGCTGTTGACCCGAAACAGTGGTCAGAGATGATGATCGTGATGAGAAGGAGGAGGACGATAGCAAAGGAGTGATTATGACGACGAAGAGGAGGATAGGGCTGACCAGGATGACAAAGGGTGAACTGCAGAATAAGGAAGAGGCAGATGTAGTTGTACCTCCGGAGAATGTGTTTTTTGTGCGTTTTTGTTTTGCTATGACAGTGGGGCCATTGTTGTACATGATTTCTTGATATGTGTGTTGAGGGCCAGTTTTGCTATACACGGTTCAATTACATGTTTTCCATGACAAGGACATATTTCACCTTTTCGAGTCAATAAATGGGCATGTGGTGAAAGTTGTGGAGGACCACATCATTCAATATTCAAAGAAACATATTCATATATCATATACTCATAGGATCCATGTATGGTATATATGCTAACATTTGGGGTATATTGATGGTAAATGTTACCATATATAGCATACATGGATCCTATGGGATATGGTTTAGTTGGGTCATTTTTAAGATCTCTCGTGAAATCCAGTTCCTAAAAATGGCCTCCATTTTAAGGCCCACAAATTTCTCCCTAGGTGAAATCGCTGCTGCTGGGGCAGCTGATCTCAGTTCTCAATACCTTCACCGGAATTTTCTCTTCCACCCTGGCAGATGCTGGCATCAACTTGCCCAGTACGCAGTCCAGTCTGAGCCATGGCTTCAGTAACAGGTGATCTGGGGAATTTTGGGTCTGAAAGGTCATTTTCACCTCTAGTAATCCCCTAGTTATGGCAACTCTAATCACTCTAATCGACTTTTATATATGAAAGCATCAAATTTGGGGTACCCAATTTTCAGGAAGAACAACATACTGTCATCGATTATCATCGTATGTTGTGACTGGAATGGCCATGCCATGCCATGCTAGGGTACCCATAGGGAGGCCAGCTCTGAGCAACGTTCCGAAAAAACGGCTAGCCCTATGTGGATCTTATCGTGGCAACCCATTTTGGGAGAACTTCATCTTGGGAAGGGATCACAGTGCCTTAATCCACCTAAACTCGTGCAGCTCAGCCTGAGGAACTACCTCTTGCTTGTCTTGCTGCTTTGCCGGGAACTTCCACGCATCAGAGACTTAGCTGGGAAGCTGCAGCCCCGGTAGATGTGTATCCTTTGAATTCCCTTTAAAACCCCATTATATGAGCATTGAACATCATTGACCCACATGAATTATATAATTTCCGTTGAACCCCACTAATTCCAAGTATATAATTTCCATTAATTCCGCAGTTAATAAATTTCTCCAAGGTTCCCTCGTTTTGTTGGCTTCCTTTGAGGCCCCTGGTTGTCATTTCCAACTCAACAAGGTTGGGCAAGACTACCGGCACAACTCGGAACATCACCCACTTACATCAACTTTTTTCCACTCTTTCAACTAGAAAAACAACTTCTTCAAGATGTTGGGGATCACAACTTTCAGCTACTGTACAGAACCCAAGGAGAGGAAGGTTTGCGAGTTCCCTGGTGGAGATATGCCCTTTGGGCCATCGCAGATGTGGAGGCCAACTATATGGCGACTCGGCTATATAACTTAGCATCGCTCAACAAATCTTCAAAGAAATCCCACAAACATCCTCCAACACTATCCAACTTTACCAGCTATTTTACCAGAATCTTCCAATCCAAAATCCCCCAACATCAACAAACAAATCCTCCAAACATCACCAAACATCTCAAAGACTTGATCCAAGCATCCACCAGCAAATGCACAGAATTCAAAATTTCCCAGCAAAAAATCACCATTTCTCACCTCTGGTGCCACCATTAGGTGGTCCTGGCGTATCGCTACACTTCGGTGGCCTCGGTGATGCTGCTGGATGGCTTCACCGTTCCTGGTTCCATGCTAGCGCCTTGGGCGGTGAGGCGGAAACATGAGATGACAACAAGGACATCATTGGAGAACATGGGGATTTTTGGATATTTTTTCAGGAATGCTGTTGGATTTTCATGGGATTTTTTGAGATGATTCGTGAGTCTGGAATTGGTTCAAGGGAACATGTTTGGTTAAATTCCCTATTTCTAGGTGTGTAAAACCAATGGTTTCCGGTTGCGTGTTGTTCCTCAAGCCAAACCACTTGAGGTGAAAGCACAGGAGAACATGGTGCAGAAATGATGAAACATGAGGAAACATTATGAAACATGGTGAAACATGATATGATAAAATCTGGGTATTTCCAGAATGTTGATGCAAAACAAGTATGTCATTCGATTTGAATTAATAGATCAGTCGACATTCGGAATGGAGAAAGTTGCTGTGACCTTGATAATTTTGACCTAGCTAAGCCTAGCAGTGGAAAATCCTCATTGCAACATCCCTACCACCTTAAGCTAGTTTTTTTGGGGGGGACCTTACAAAATGTAACTTACATTTGTTGTTGTTTTTTCATGGGGGGATAGTTGTAACTTAAAAGCTGCAAGGTAGCAAAAATCAGGGAATATAAACGGTAAAAATGTAAGTTCCGACCTCAAAGAATATTCAGTGTATCCCCCAGGAATACACCAGGCACGTTGTAACCACTGAAGTTTAGGGACGGGGCAACAAATTGTAAATTACATTTTTTCTGCCCCCCCTTTTTGGTACCTGACCATATTTGGCTGGCAGCCGGAACAAAGCACGGCAGCCCAAATCCTTCAACATCTTCAAGGTACCTATGGAATCCTAGGAAACAAAAATGTAAGGTCCCTTGGGGAAGGTTCCAAACTTGCAATTGTCATGAATAACAAGACCTCAAGACCACCAACTTACATTTTCCATGGCCCACCAGCCAAAGCCACTGCTGCAAGACATGCATTCAAAAAACATGGAAACCACAAAAATCAATACAATCCAATCTCCCAGAACTATCCAGAGCCCCAAGTCTTTCAGGTTCTGAAGCACAAAAATGTCAGGTCCCTTGGGGGGAGGTTCCAAACACCTGCATTTTGTCAGGGGAAACCTCAAAAAACAATTTGGAGCAACACAAATCTTCAAGATACCCAGGGAATCCTAAGTACAAAAATTACTTTACTTCGTGTGATCCCCACCATGACATTTATACATGTTCTTACTGGCACATCTTCTGGCATTCTATCTGACATATCTTCTGACATTCTATTTGGCATTCTATCTGGCATATCTTCTGGCATATCTTCTGGCATTCTATCTGACATATCTTCTGACATTCTATTGGCATTCTATCTGGCATATCTTCTGGCATTCTATCTGACATTCTTCTGACATTCTATCTTCTATCTGGCATATCTTCTGGCATTCTATCTGGCATATCTTCTGGCATATCTATTCTATCTGACATATCTTCTGGCATTCTATCTGGCATATCTTCTGGCATATATTCTGACAATATCTTCTGGCATTCTATCTGGCATTCTATCTGGCATTCTATCTGGCATATCTTCTGGAATATCTTCTGGCATATGTATCTGGCATATCTTCTGGCATATTTTTCTGGCATTCTACCTGGCAAATCTTCTGGCACTCTATCTGACATTTTATCTTCCTACATGAGGTCCGGCAGGGAACACTTGGCTTGGCGTGGTTGGATACTCGCGGTTGAGGTCCGGCAGGGAACACTGGGCGTGGATGGTCGTGGTTGAGGTCCGGCAGGGAACACTGGGCGGGGATACTCGCGGTTGAGGTCCGGCAGGGAACACTGGGCGGTGATGGTCGTGGTTGAGGTCCGGAAGGGCACACTGAACGTGGATGGTCGTGGCTGAGGTCCGGCAGGACACACTGACATGGATCGCAGTGGAGCAGGAGGAGGAGGAGAAGGAGGACGAGAAGGAGGAGGACGAGGAGGAGGAGGAGGACGAGGAGGAGGAGGACGAGGAGGAAGCAACTGACATAAAATCTAACAACCCTCACCTGGCAGGTGGGGAAATATAAGATCCCTTGGAGGAGGTCCCAATTGCCTGCACAGGAACTTACATTTTCCATGGCCAACCACCCAACACCACTGCCAGAATCTGTTCTTAAAAATGAAGACTTTTCCACAAACATTGCACCTTCAAACATGTAACTTACATTTAGGAAGTATTACCTTGTTCAGGTCCAAATTTCAGAGTCAGAGGGACCTACCCCAAATGAAAATCACATTTTTGAGGGTACTGATTCTATGTTTTTTTTTGAGAACATGTAAGTTACATGTTTGAAGATTTTACCTACCCTAAATGTAACTTACATTTAGGGGGATATTGCAACATGATTATATATATATATAATTATATATAATTATATTTAATTATATATTATATAATGGTTTCCCCACTAAAATCCACATTTCCACATGGTTTCCTAAGAAAACTTATCATTTTCGGGGGATGGGCCATTCCCATCCAAGGTCTCGTGGATCTTGCTGCGTGCCCAGTATCGAAAAGCACATCTGGCGGCCTGCGTCGTGTGCCTTTGCGGCTTGGGCCCCTTAACTGAAAACTGGGCGGACGGCACAGGGATGGCTCAACATGGCTCAACCATCCAAATGCATGTAGCTGGTGGTTTCAAAGATGTGTTCCATTGTTTTCCCCTTGTTTTAAGATGATGATTTCTCATTATTGGACTCTAATTGTTACTGTTACTGATATGTTTCATTGTTGAAATAACCAATACTATGTTACTATGCAAAGGTTTAAATCCGCAGATGATGGTGGCGAGGTATATAATGAATAGTTCCATTCATGACATTTAGACTTTTGGTGCTCGCAGGATGTGAACAGTCTGGAATTCATTGAGGATCGAATGTTATTGGGGGCATTCAATGGGAAAAGCGGGATACGATCCCGATAAAGTGCCCATGAAATCCTCACTTTTGCTGAGTAGATTGGCTAGATCCACATTCAATCGAACATTGGCAAAATCATTTTCAGACACCTAACACTTTTTTTTTTGTTTACTGAGTTAATTTCCCAAGTTTTTGCCAAAAAACTTGGTAAACCCATGGTGTTTCCCCATGACATCGCCATGACATCGCCAGGCTTAACGGTCCTCTCTGACAGCTCCCATGACGCGAACAAGTCGCACGCCTGGCTGGGAGATCTCTTCGCGCCTTGGCCAGCGGATGCCAGCGGATGGGATGGGATGATATACCCGGCCTGGTAAACATACAAAAAGCTGTTGAAAATGGATGAAAATGGTCATTGATAGTGGATTTTCCCATTGAAAATGGATGAAAATGGTCATTTATAGTGGATTTTCCCATGAAACATGGGTGGATTTTCCAGTTCGCTCTGTTAAATTACCAGAGGGTATCATGATATATCTATTGTTACTTATTACAGTATATATATATATATATTATATATATATCTATTGGAAATTGGATCATCATATCTATTGTAATCTTATTATTTTTTGTTAGCTCTATTCTTTATTTTGTAGCCGATGGTATGAAATATATACATATACAGTGCATATATATGTATATATATATATATATCCAGTGTTGTCTAGTGGATTTTAATATCTAGTATGTATATTTAAATTATATATATATATAAATATAATATTATTAGTGTCACATTAGTATCTAATTATTAGTTTTATTTTTATCTGATAATGGATGGGATAATACATCTATTATTGTCTATTGGGTTTCAATATCTATATTATCATCTATTATGTATATTATTAAATTATATATTATGTTTTATAGTTTGGTAATGGGTGTGATAATACAACAATTATCTATAATGGATGATAAGGGATTCTGGTTGGTGGTTTGGAACATGTTTTATGTTCCCATATATTGGGAATAATGATCCCAACTGACATTCATATTAATTTAGCGGGGTTGAAGCCACTGACCAGGATTCTGTTGGATGATAATGGATGGTTATCCCTGAGATGGGATTATTCACATGATATTGGATGATGGTATGATAAATATGCGGCAGTCATCAATCATAAATGTCATAAATCAAGATGGATGATTAATTCTGATGAATTCTGATCTTTCTGATGTTTTTTGATTGTTCTATGAAATTATGGGGTAGTTGTCCATGATTGGCAATGCACACCCACATCTTTATAGCGCAGATGATTTAGGCAGTGGACGTGTCTTGCGACGCATGAAAGGTGAATCTGATGTGAGTGGCTTGAAGGACAGTCTTGGCTACCTCTTCCGGTACATACATCTGACTTTATTTATCTTAATTTATATGGTTCTGAGCAACATGTGGAGGTCTATGAGATGGGGTCTACAGTTGCCAGCGGGTCCTTTTTGTTCCAACAGCCAATCCCATGCGGTATAAGGCACTCTGCTGCCAAATTGCTGATGATTTGAGGTCATTTGCGGGGCTTCGCTCTATTCCCTCTCCAATGTCCAGGAAGAAGTTCTGCTGAAACGACACTGCAGTCGCAGTGAAGCCCTGGGCATGCTGGGGGTCTTTGGAAGCAGCTTGGCTTGGTGTTTCAGTCATAGACCTGACTGGTCAGTTGGGGATTCCATGGGATTGGCGGATTGGTCTGAGGCATCATTTGCTGCGTCCAAGCATTTGTCCTTGAAGGACACGCCCTTCGCACCACGGAGTGGTCAGCGCACCTTGGTTTTGTGTTTCGCCCCCGACCTCATTTTCACATTTTTCACTGTCTGGGACGCTTGTAGCAACTGGCCAAGATGTTTGGGTATGGGGTTAAACGGTTAAACATGTTGTAACCAAGATGGAACCTGATATTGAACATGCAGCACATTCAGATCATCCTGCAGATCCCACATCCCACCAAGGAAGAGACATTCCATCCATGGATAGCCAGCTTTCAGAAGTACAATCATGTTTATTTCCGAAAAGACAACCATTCCTCCAGACACCAAAAATTCATCAAAGCTCCTCAAACATCCAAGTTTGTTTTTTCCCGAGAGCGTCTGAGCGCAGGGTTCTTCCAATAGTGGGGGTCTGTAAAACATCTTCTCATCTTCACATCTGCTCATCTTCACACCTTCCCATCTTCACATCTGCTCATCTTCACACCTTCCCATCTTCACATCTTCTCATCTTCACATCTGCTCATCTTCACATCTGCTCATCTTCACACCTTCCCATCTTCACATCCTCTCATCTTCACATCTGCTCATCTTCACATCTGCTCATCTTCACATCTGCTCATCTGCACATCTTCTCATTCTCATCTTCACACCTTCTCATCTTCACATCTGCTCATCTTCACATCTGCTCATCTTCACATCTGCTCATCTTCACATCTTCTCATCTTCACATCGGCTCATCTTCACATCTTCACACCTTCTCATCTTCATACCTTCTCTCACACCTTCTCATCTTCACACCTTCTCATCTTCACACCTTCTCATCTTCACATCTGCTCATCTTCACATCTGCTCATCTTCACATCTGCTCATCTTCACATCTTCTTATCTTCACACCTGCTCATCTTCACATCTTCTCATCTTCACATCTGGTCATCTTCACATCTGCTCATCTTCACACCTGCTCACCTTCTCTCTCATGCCTTCTTTTTATCTTTCTCTCTTGAGGCCGAGGGTGGTGCCGGCGGCGAGTCACGAAACGTCAACCCTTTCGCACGAAATGAGGGTCGATCGGCAAAAACTGAGGTAAAATTGCGATTTGACTTGTGCCGGAGCAACCCTTTCGCACGAAATGAGGGTCGATCGGAAAAAAACTGAAGTAAAATTGCGATTTGACTTGTGCTAAAGCAACCCTTTCGCACCAAATGAGGGTCGATCGTCAAAAACTGAGGTAAAATTGCGATTTTACTTGCCCCGGAGCAACCCTTTCGCACGAAATGAGGGTCGATCGGCAAAAACTGCGGTAAAATTGCGATTTGACTTGCCCCGGAGCAACCCTTTCGCACGAAATGAAGGTCGATCGGCAAAAACTGAGGTAAAATTGCGATTATACTTGTGCCGGAGCAACCCTTTCGCACGAAATGAGGGTCGATCGGCAAAAACTGCGGTAAAATTGCGATTTGACTTGCCCCGGAGCAACCCTTTTGCACGAAATGAAGGTCGATCGGCAAAAACTGAGGTAAAATTGCGATTTTACTTGCCCCGGAGCAACCCTTTCGCACGAAATGAGGGTCGATCGGCAAAAACTGAGGTAAAATTGCGATTTGACTTGTGCCGGAGCAACCCTTTCGCACGAAACGAGGGTCGATCGGTAGAAACTGAGGTAAAATTGCGATTTTTCCTGTGCCGGAGCAACCCTTTCGTCTGTGTGTAAAAGCGTCTGTGTGTAAAAGCGTCTCTGTGTGTAAAAGCGTCTCTGTGTGTAAAAGTCTCTGTGTGTAAAAGCGTCTGTCTGTAAAAGCGTCTGTGTGTCAAAGCGTCTGCGTGTAAAAGTGTTTGTGTGTAAAAGTGTTTCCCGAGAGCGTCTGAGCGCAGGGTTCTTCCAATAGTGGGGGTCTGTAAAACATCTTCTCATCTTCACATCTCATCTTCACATCCTCTCATCTTCACATCTCATCTTCACATCCTCTCATCTTCACATCTTTTCATCTTTACATCCTCTCATCTTCACATCCTCTCATCTTCACATCTTTTCATCTTTACATCCTCTCCTCTTCACATCCTCTCATCTTCACATCTGCTCATCTTCACATCCTCTCATCTTCACATCCTCTCATCTTCACATCTGCTCATCTTCACACCTTCCCATCTTCACATCTGCTCATCTTCACACCTTCCCATCTTCACATCTTCTCATCTTCACATCCTCTCATCTTCACATCTGCTCATCTTCACACCTTCCCATCTTCACATCTGCTCATCTTCACACCTTCCCATCTTCACATCTTCTTATCTTCACATCCTCTCATCTTCACATCTGCTCATCTTCACACCTTCCCATCTTCACATCTGCTCATCTTCACACCTTCCCATCTTCACATCTTCTCAGCTTCACATCTGCTCATCTTCACATCTGCTCATCTTCACATCTGCTCATCTTCACATCTGCTCATCTTCACATCTTCTTATCTTCACACCTGCTCACCTTCTCTCTCACGCCTTCTTTTTATCTTTCTCTCTTAAGGCCGAGGGTGGTGCCGGCGGCGAGTCACGAAAAGTCAACCCTTTCGCACGAAATGAGGGTCGATCGGCAAAAACTGAGGTAAATTTGCGATTTGACTTGTCCTGGAGCAACCCTTTCGCACGAAATGAGGGTCGATCGGCAAAAACTGAGGTAAATTTGCGATTTGACTTGTCCTGGAGCAACCCTTTCGCACGAAATGAGGGTCGATCGGCAAAAACTGAGGTAAAATTGCGATTTGACTTGTCCCGGAGCAACCCTTTCGCACGAAATGAGGGTCGATCGGCAAAAACTGAGGTAAAATTGCGATTTGACTTGCCCCGGAGCAACCCTTTCGCACGAAATGAGGGTCGATCGGTAGAAACTGAAGTAAAATTGCGATTTTTCTTGTGCCGGAGCAACCCTTTCGTCTGTGTGTAAAAGCGTCTGTGTGTAAAAGCGTCTGTGTGTAAAAGCTTCTGTGTGTAAAAGCGTCTCTGTGTGTAAAAGTCTCTGTGTGTAAAAGCGTCTGTGTGTAAAAGCGTCTATGTGTAAAAGCGTCTGTGTGTCAAAGCGTCTGTGTGTAAAAGCGTCTGTGTGTAAAAGTGTTTGTGTGTAAAAGTGTTTGTGTAAAAGCGTTTGTGTGTAAAAGCCTCTGTGTGTAAATGTGTTTGTGTGTCAAAGCGTCTGTGTGTAAAAAGCGTCTGTGTGTAAAAGCGTCTGTGTGTAAAAGCGTCTGTGTGTAAAAGCGTCTGTGTGTAAAAGCTTCTGTGTGTAAAAGCGTCTGTGTGTGTAAAAGTCTCTGTGTGTAAAAGTGTTTGTGTGTAAAAGTGTTTGTGTGCAAAATCGTCTGTGTGTAAAAGCGTCTGTGTGTAAAAGTCTCTGTGTAAAAGTCTCTGTGTGTAAAAGTCTCTGTGTGCAAAAGCGTCTGTCTGTAAAAAGTTCTGTGTATGAAAACCTTTACAAAAATACGATGCAAACTATTGTCTTGTACTAGTCATATATTGTCTTGATACTACTCTTCTCGTCTGCCTATAATACATCTTTAATATATTATCTTGTAATATAGTGTCTCCATACTAACAACAGAAGACTCTGCTCCTCTACGCTCTCGGGCCATCCGTCGTCTAGTTTTTTTAACGACATCACTGCAGATGTTTGAGGCGCGATGTGGGATGCCTCTTGGGCTTTCAGATGTGCCTCTTTGGCATCTATGTCACTTGGGCCGCCAGTGGGAAATCAGCGGTTGGTCCAGGTCAGTTGGGCTCATCGAAAGACACGCTTTCGATATAAGATGCATAAAAATATTAAAAAAAAACATGAACAAATGCTTTGACATGGCGCGGGTGTTGAGGTTAAGTTGCAAGATGAAAAATCACACCTTTCTGGATCTCCGTCCCACGAAAGGTCCTGGCAAGCATTTTCTTGCAGATGTCGGACTCAGCGGTCTTCAACATGTCACTGCTGACATGTGATGTGTACAGCATCATTTTTTCCTGGCAGGCCAGGGGCCGGAGGGGCTATCTGACCCTGGAGATTTTTGGTCTGCAGTAGGGGTCCTCCAACACGGCAATGGAACATGAGAAATGGATGAGAAATGGATGATGTTCTTCTTGACACTGGCCCGTTGCCAGCTTTTTTCTAGCGGAATCATGCCATGCCACCCCTTGACCTCCGAGTTGCCTGGATGAGCCAGCAAACTGGTTGATTGTTCCCTGTAGGGCGACCATGGGCAACCTATAATACATGACTTGGACGTCCTTTTCGACTGGTTCATTGATCAATAAAGACATACAGGGCTTGAGTTATCATGTATATCGTGTATTTATTATATATATATATATATCATATATGTATATATATATATACAGAGGGTCACAATGTGGACACCCACGTAAGCTGCATAATTGTAGGCGAGTGTCACGTACAGACCATCCGCGTGGCTGGCTGTTGTTTGCGCTAGAGAAACACTCATCCGACGCAGATGTTGCATGCTCCTGCCCGAGTTGTAGGCGTAAAGCTGTGGGAGCACCATATACATATACATACACACGCACACACACACACACATATATTATATATTTGTATATATATTATATATACATTTACATTTACATACACATATATATATATATATCATTCATATAAACCGCCATAGCGCAAATAGAACCCTCCATACAGTAATCCTGTTGGCAAATCTGAAGCAATCTCGTAAGCACCTTGGTCTTTGGGCAGATGACATCTGACTGGCCAGGTTCAGCACAAGCACATCAGCTGGACCTATGGCCTTGCCTTCGGGCTGACGCTCTCTGGCTTGGTCTGGTATCATCGCCAGCCAACGCCGGTCGACGTGCCCGCGATGGGGGCGGCCTAGGTCCTACTAGGTGTTGCGTGTGGGGCAGTCAGCACACGAAGGAGCATGTTCCTGGTTGTTGGAAAAACACAACTTCATGATGATTAATGTATACATGCACTTTGAGGCACTTTGTACATCTATGTTGGTATCATATGATATATTCTTTGGCATCCTTTTTTTACAGTAGATTAGAGATGATCATGATGTGTTGTAGTACTCTCTCCCATTGTCTCCCTTTTTGGTGTGCTATAAAGCTGCCAAACCTGATGCCCGTGTACAGTGAATGGCGACGTGCTACTAGGACAAGGATCCTACATCCTCTTGGCTTTTGGACATTGGTGATTCCCCATCCACTTAATCCTGTTTGTGCGAAGACGAGATTGAGGTGTGCTAGACATTGCCCATCAAGTTATTGTGTTGCGACCTTATTTTTTTTTACCATTTAAGACCAATTTTGGATGGACTACACCCAAGCGGTTGGGAGCAGATCAGAACTCGTTTTGAAGCACCCTGCGCCGTGCGCCGGGGAAAGTATGTGGTATTTGTGGTCCTGTGAGGGTGGTGCTGGCTACGCACTGTGGATCATGTGTGACGATAAGGTGACCACTGTGAGTTCAATTAAGCCTAGAAATATGGGGACAGGTCAAAACATAAAATTGCAATATTTATCCATATTTGGGGAAGTACGCATCCATTAACAATCATTAACCAGCTATTCTAGGGTACTCAGTGTGCCAGGGTTTTGACATGTTTTGACTCATAGTCATATAGAAAAAGGATGAAACCTGATTTTGTGGCCATTTGCGCATCTTGGATGCTCATGGATTTTCCAGATCTATCTTAGTTTACTCGAGGGTATATGCTGCATGTGTGAGTTTGATGATCGCCATCAGCCTTTTCCAAAAGGAGGCAGCTCAAAATCACCAGGGTGTCCGTGCGGGGTACCATTTTAAGTAGCACATGATATCACAATTGTGATAAATTAAAACGGTCCTTCATCAAGCAGCTCTTCTTTATCCGGGGTTGACATTTCATGACTGGCTGACGGTTTCGAATATGTGGGATGATCCCATTATGATTCCTTCAGCCCATCAGGCACAGGCTGCAACAATGTCTTGGCTCAACCCTGACACTTCTCAGGTTTTACACTGGTTCAGTCCCAGAATTGGTGGATGCTGTTAAAAAAAAGTAGGAACCCTCCCATAATCCATAATGCGCGCTTAGAAAACATGATTTCCCGGAGAAAACAACAACGACAACAACAACAACAACAGCAACAACAACAACAACAACAACCACAACCAACAAACAGCAAACAGCAAACAGCAAACTGCAAACAACAAACAGCAAACAACAAACAACAAACAACAAACAACAGACAACAAACAACAAACAACAAACAACAGCAACAACAACAAGTAAACATAAGTAAACAGTAAACACAAGTAAACACAAGTAAACACAAGTAAACACAAGTAAACACAAGTAAACACAAGTAAACACAAGTAAACACAAGTAAGCATAAACATAAGTAAACATAAGTAAACATAAGTAGAAATAAGTAGACATAAGTAAAAATAAGTAAACATAAGTAGAAATAAGTAGACATAAGTAAAAATAAGTAAACATAAGTAGAAATAAGTAGACATAAGTAAAAATAAGTAAACATAGTAAACCAACCCATTGATTTAGTAAATTTAGTGTTATGAGAATTGCTCCATCTCCAACTGCCAACTGTGGGGCCTGGAGGTTCAAGCGCCAGCGCGGAGCAACGTGACGAATCTAAGCAGGTCGGAGGGAGCCTGACAGCTAACATTATTGACATATGGATGTGGGTCAAAATGGAAGACCTAGGGGACCACAGATGATAGTCTAGTTTAGTATTCACCATCCAATTATTGGGGTACCTAATTTTGACCCATACCCATATATTGAAATGATCATAAGATTAAATGAGACTGAGATGCCATATGATTATACATGATTTCCCATGGTTTAATTATGTTTAATTCGTGATTTTTCACTTCCGACTTGGAAAGGGGTAACTTAATTCCATCATTACCCGACCCCAGTGGGTAAATTCACCAGGGGAAAGGACAGTTTGTGGCTTCTATCCTAGGGAACCTTATTGTTCACTTTTTCTACCCCTACCACGCCCCAAGATTGTTGGTAAGTTTATATACCAATTCCCAATGCGAGAACTCTGGTTGGCGCCGCGGCGCCGCGCGAAAATTGTTCATTTCCGGAACAGTCCACCTGTCACTCGAATAGCCTATGCCTCTATAATCAAACATGGCTAGCTGGAAAATCACCCGTTGTTCATTGATGTTTATTGATTTTCGAAACAGTCCAGTTGAAATTTTAAACGGCAATTTCGAACGAAACGGATTTCCCGGGCATCGTTGCAGGTTTGCCTCCGATGCGAAAAGGCCATCCCTTCGGAGGGCCGCTTTTGCGGTGGCTGCTTCCCAGACGTCTTGGAGGAGGCGCTGTGGATCCTTCAGCATGCAGAGATGGGGTTGATCTATGCACCAGAACGACCAAAAAAAAAATGTGGGAAAGCATGGAAAACCATGGAACACCGCCATCAACCATCATAAACCTAGCATTTGACTCCATTTGGGTCTGGTTTATAGCACCTATGTCCATTAAAATGGTGCTTTGGGGGATGGTTTATGGATGTTCATGGCATTGGGTTGAACGGTTCACCACGTAATTGTTGTTTGCAAGCTGGCAAGGTTGATGTGGCCCGTTTGTGTCACATTGGATTCATCCGTTGATATCCGTTGAACCAGTGACTTGGTCAAATCCAGCTTCAAATCTCATTTCTGGCTTGCATTGGAACATGATTTTTCAATGAGAAATTGCATCTTTGTTATATATTCCTTTGGGATTTCGCGTGTGACCCTTTGAACAACCGTACATTTATCAACAACAAAAAGCATAGTAAAAACAACCAACATTTGTAATATAACTGCATATAGATATATATATATATGCCTACGCATACACACACACATATATATATATATATACATACATGTACATGTATAAAATAAATGATATATAAAGCTGTATAAGACTGTATATACTGTATGCATACTGTATAACCACCAAAAGGATTTAAACAAATCGGCTCAAGAACGTTCCAACTCAGCAACCTCAGCTT